AAAAAGAGTTTATAAAAAATTTCAATTTAAAATTTTTGAGTTTTTATTATTTGAGATTTTAAAAAGATTAAAAAATTTTAAAAATATAAATTTTTAAAAAAATTTATATTTATAAAACATAAATAATATTTGAGGCCTTTGAAATTGAACCAAACATACCCTTAGTACTACTTTCCCAAGTGAGTTTTGAGATGTACTTGTGGGTTTTGAAAGGACTTGAGGCTACCAATTATTATTTCTCTAATTTTGAAGGACTCAAGTATCATAGTTTTTGTTCTTAGATGATAAAAGGTGGATATTTTTGAATTTCTTGGTTTTGATAATTGACTATAATGAATGCTTGTTGTCTTTTATGCTTCGCTCGGGGCCTTGGGTGAATGGAGATAATTCAAATTGATTGCTTGATAGTCTTGGCATCTGTTGGGATGCGTCTTGAGTGTGATTGGTTTCAAATGTAACTTTATGTTCCAGTCAACATGGGTTGTGGAAAATGATATTTGTTTCTTCTGTAATTTCATTTGCTTGTTCACATGACTAACATTTTTTTTTTCTTTTTTGATTTTAAGTGCAGCTTCTTAGTCTTTGCTTGAATCATAGTCATCCTTATACTAACTTCGTCACTAAGTTTAGAGAAAAGGTTTATAAAAATAGTAAGAGGGTTTGTTGGCTTTAACCCATTAGAGTTCCAATCTTCGACCGTGTGTTCGACGTTAAATATACGACGCCGGTAACGTTTCCCATCATTCACATTTCCTTTTTCTTTGCACAAACATGGATGCCGAAGAGGGAAGAGAGAATGAAAGAGTCAACCTTGCAGATGATCCTTCCAGCGGAGAGATGGTTCAGATAGATCTTCATCTTCTCCCACGGGAGATTCTACTCGATATCCTATCAAGACTCCCGATCACCTCTTTGATCCACTTCAAGACCACTTCCCATGCCGGCTATGATTTAATAGCCGATCCAAGACTCCCTCCAATGTTCCGCAACCGGTTAAGCAACTCAAACCCATGTCTGATTCTGTTCAACTACAATATCCTTGCTACCCCGCCCTGCCAACTCTATTTTGTGGATAGTGAGGACTGTAGTGGAAGGGTTACGAAAATCGACCCACCACATCATTCAGAAGTTAATAACCTGGTGGATTCCTGTAACGGGCTGTTATGCTTATCCCTAATCGGTGGTTCATCGGAGTCTCACAGTCTACTAATTTACAATCCTTTTGTTGGAGAGGCTGTGAGAGTCCCACCAGCGAACCGATTTCCCTATCAAAGTGAAGTTTTTGGATTTGGGTTTCATCCGAGGACAGGAGAATTCAAAGTGGTCAGGATTGTGTGGTACCTAGATGTCTACGAAGTGGATGATGCATCAATGGTTCAGGTGTTTACCGTAGGAACAACAGAGTGGAGAAAGAAAGGAGCTTCGCCCTCACAATTGAGGGATGAACCAGCTGAGGCTCTAGTTGAAGGATCTCTCCATTGGGTGACTGATGTTGGGATGGGAGGAGCCGGTGTTATCTTTGGTATTATCTCCTTCGAGCTTGCAGATGAGGTGTTCGAAGAAATTCCGCACCCACCTTGTCAACGATTTGAGTCACGTCACTACACTCTTTCCGTGCTCAATGGGTGTCTATCGGCAGCTACGTTGGTTGATGATTTGCATTTTGATATCTGGGTGATGATGCAATACCGTGTTAAGGAAACTTGGGTAAAACAATTCTCCTTTGATCCCAATTTTCCTGGTGGACGGCCAAGCTGCTTAACGATATTTTCCACAGTTATATGTGCACTCAAGAATGGTGAGATTCTGTTGCAGAATGAAGACAAAGACAGTTCTCTGGTTTCTTATGATCCTGTGGAAAACAGATTCAAGACTCTTCAAATAAGTGGGTTACCCAATTCGTTCCAGGCACCTCCTTTTTTACCTTCTCTTGTCTCAGCAAAGGCAACCATGAATTTGCAACTTTCAACTCTCTATTGAATCAACCCTTTTTCTGTAAGACTACTACTAAGTTTTTAGTTTGTGTTGAATCTTTGATCATCGATGCATCATGCACCAGGAAAAATGCAGCAAGCATGTAGAAGCTACCCTGCAGCACCAACAACTACAAGCCGGTGCATCTTTGTCAAAATTGCCACAAGTCAGCAAAAATGGCTACCCAAGTCCACGAAAATGGCTAACTCCCAACTGTATTCTGTTTTCATTTATTACCTTAGTTGGATTTTGCCTATAAATAGTCATGTTCCTTCCGTTGTATGCATAAGTTTTATCACTTTAATCAAGTTTCAATTCTCTTCTGTTTGAGTGAGTTTTTGAGAGTGAATTTTTTTTAATTTATCTTTGTATTTTAGATTTTGTCAATTTAAGTGGTGTCTTAGGTAATCGAATTCATCGTACTAAGATTCTAAATGTCGTCAAAATCGGTGTTTCGGTATCGGTTCTTGTGCCACATCAATAACAGTTGTGCTTTGTACAAGCTCCTTGCAACTAATTGTCTGAAATGAGGTAGAAACTAAAACGGAAAAAATAAAAAAGAAATAGAATGAAAGGTCTAAGAGTTAAGAGGGACTCCCACTAACATTGATAAGAAATCAAAAACATCAAAAATACCTGCAGTGTGGCATTACGCTTAGAATGGGACTTGCGTCCTCCATGTTCAATGGCTATTTGCCTCTGTGAATATGATGAAAAAAAGATCAAGTGCGGATGAGTTGTCAAAACTGAACTGGGAATATATGCATAATAAAAAAAATTGATTATATACAAATGTGCTAAGATATGACCTTCAATTCAGAATTAATTGAAAACGTACACAACAAACAATTTGGAGAGACAATCCTTGTCCTCACATAAGAAATGCTCTTGACGAAAATGAATCTGTGGTTCAATAAACTGATATTAACTCAGAATCAAACATAACAAAGGAAGTATGGCACGGTATAGAATATTAGTATGCCTAAAATTTTGGGAGACCAGCAACAGTCAGCAGAGACATTATAGAACAAATAAAAAGAAAGAAAAAAAACCCAGAAAACACTCCTGGATATCAATGGCATTAAAGAACAAATTCTTGAGCAACGCAGCAAATGATTATGGATTAACAAAACAGTACGCTGCAAAGATTTGTTAACAGATTCTAACCCGAGAGAGAAGATGTTAGAAAATATAAAATAGCAGAAGAATAAAAGAATAGTTATGAGACCTGATTTCTTTTTTTTTTTAAGAATTAAAAATTTTTCAAGATACAATATAACTTAAAATTCTTTCAAAAATTAGATGTAAAATTTTGATTTTACATAAAAATTTATAAATTAAAATAAAAAATTTAAAAATAATAAAAAATTAATGATATTTTGACAATCAAGCTTATTTTTTGATTATA